TTTAGAACCCAATTAGGGTCTTTAAGCCCAATATAGTTCAAGTTGAAGGTTTATTGGTCCATTAGGCCCAATAAAAGAATCCTAGTCCATAATGAATTTGAGCCGGGATTTCTAGGGTTTCCAACCCTTATTTGAACATATGAGATGTATTTGGAATGAGAATGGATTATAGTATTCACTTAGAGTACAAGTTATCACACTAGGTGAATGATTGCATGAGAGTAGAATTTCCTAGCAAAAATGCTAGTTGTGACATCATCCCCCCGTTAGAGGGAATTTCGTCCTGAAATTGTTTTGAAAGGTAGGTTCATGAATGAGACAATAGGTACTTCATCTGATCTTCGCATTTCCCATGTGGATTTCAGTCCACGCTTAGCGTTCCATTGAACCTTCACAATCAAAATGTGGCTTTGTTTTGTATGCTCTACTTTCCTATCCAATACCTCGACTGGTTCTTTGACGAACATGAGATTCTCGTTTATTTTGATTTCTTGTGAAGGAATGATAAGAGTCTCATCTGATATGCATCTTTTCAGATTCGAGACACAGGGTGTACGTTGCTGAGCTCTACAGGCAGTTGTAGCCTATAAGTCTTTGGACCAATCCGAGCAAGAATCTCGAATAGTCCGATGTATCGTGGGTTTGATTTTCTCATTTCCTAAAGCGAATCATTCCTTTCCAAGGAGATTCCTTTAATAACACGCGATCCCCGACTTGGCATCCTAATGGCTTACGCCGCTTTTCGGAATAGCTCTTATGTCGGTCTCGCGATGCTTGAAGTCAAGCTTTGATTTGGATTATCTTATCTGTTGTTTCGCAATTGGTTTCTGGTCTCATGAGAGTACTGGTGAGTGATCTGCATTTATGACTATAATGAGTTTCGGAAAGAGCAATCTTGATGCTCGCGCGATAGTTGTTATTGTATGAGAATTCAGTCAAGGGCAACTGGGTATCCCCTGACTTACTGAATTCAGACACCTAGACTTGTAGCATAACTTCGAGTGGTTGAATGGTTCGTTCACTTTGACTATTGGTTTGAGGGTGGTAAGCAACGCTAATACTTAGTTATGTTCCTATAGTCTTCTGAAATGACTATCAAAGTCTTGCAGTAATCCCGTTCTCTCAAGCCAAGATTGTAGATACTGATACTTCATGGAGTCCCACGATCTGTATTAGCATAAAATGGGCAGATTGGATTAACCTATCGACGATCACCCGGGTAGCGCCCAACTCAACTCTTATAATAATAAGCTTTGTCTTTTGACTTCGAGGGTTTTATCCATCCCTGCAGTGCTTTCTTCGCGATATTCTTCGGCTTGATGCTTTCAAGGCTGGTTGTAGATGTTGACAGTGTTTTGTTCTTGCTTCGTGAGTACATAAGTATGCTATTGATGAAAATAATGAAAAGGCTGACTAGGAGTGGTTGAGAAAGATGGTAGTTTGAAAAGGCTGACGTATGGGTTGTAACTGTCAAGTTTGAGAGTATACCACCCAGCCTTAGAAAAAATGGGATAAAGATGGTAGTTTGTATTTTGGTAATTTCAATTCTTTTTATATCTTTTTCCTTTTCTTCCTTTTAGACTTACAGGTAACTTACAAAACAAACCCTATGTTTTTACTCTTTAGTTATTTGAAATACTTATATAAAATTATATGTTAATATTCTTAAAACTTTTAAAAATATATGTGAATAGTTTTTACTTTTAGCATCACTATAAATTCAAATTCGTTTATAAAAAAATTTATTTTTCACTAAATGATATGTTATAATATAGCAACCACTCACACCCTGAATATTTTACAATGTTATTATAAATACATTTAAAATTATATTATCCATTAAAGATATTTATTAACACGTTCAAATAAAAGTGTATGTGTGCCAATCCGGGTTCCATTATGTGTAATAATGTGATAATATAAGATTCAATGATTATATTGATAAGGTTCAATCATTGTGTCCGTCTATATATATATATATATATATATATATATATATATATATATATATATATATATATATATATATATATATATATATATATATATATATATATATATATACCAATCAATCTAACAATAAAATATAATGTTATAATTTTATATCTTCAGTTTAAATTGTAGTTTTAAAAAGATCTTAAATTTTTTTAATTTATATATTAAACCCTTAAAACTTTATTAATTTTGAAAACTAACAAAGGAAACATATTATTTAATATAAAAGTTGTATAATTAAAACGATCTAATGAATACATTTATAAAAATAGTAATAATGAATATTAATAAATATTTTAAATATTATTAAAAAAATATTTTATTAAATAAGAAATATAAACTATGAAACATTAACAAAAATAGAAGAGATAAAAATGAAACTTTGGTTTTAGTTTTCTCTATATATAGACGATTGATGTTTCTTATTTGTTAAATTGAAAGTAACGTCATTATGAAAGTAATTTTCGTTAAAAGCAAACGTACGATATTTATTATAAATATAGATTTTATTAAATAGCAAGTTTCGAATAATAAATTGGTGACACATGTTATCAAGTATTTCTACTTAACATTTTTTTTGTTTGTTTTTTTTTTTTTTTGTTAAATATATGTTTTTCTCCATATTATGTTTAGAGAAATTATTACATCCAATGGAGCCAGATGAAGTAAATGAAAATAATAGCATGAATGAAAGTGACTATTTTTCGACGTAACATTGTCATTTGAAACAGATATGCATCCAATAGACAAAAATGAAGCAGATGAAAATGAAAGTAATTATTTTTTCGATGATACATCGTCATTCAAAACGGATAATGTATAAATTCATTAGTATGTTGTTACAGTAATGTTAGCATCGAGTGGATTTATTAGTTACTAATAATAATATAATTGCTACGTGTTCAATTTTCGTTAAGAATTGATGGATTGGATGCAAAATGTGACCAAACTTTAGGTTATGTCATCGTCATAAAAATTTCTAAACGTACCTTTAGTTACTAAATAATGCATTAGTTTGAAAATAATTATATTTCAAATATTAGAATTATATATGTAGTTGAAGGTGCTCATCATGTGAACGTTAATTTAAAAATATCATACCTACTATTTTACCACTTTGGCGTGTTACTATAGATCATCACAATATGCTTAATGGAATATTGTTTATGTTGTTCGATTGAATTCCTATATTTTTCAATTTTACACAGTAATTATAATAATTCAATAGTTGAATTATCTGATAATTAATAACATCAAATTTATATTTTATTATATATAGTTTTTAATGCAGTGGCCATAGGAGTATGGTTTATATATATATATATATATATATATATATATATATATATATATATATATATATATATATATATATATATATATATATATATATATATAAAGTTTTAAAAAGTATACGATTTTATTTGAAAATTAATATAAATATAAAGATATTTAATGTAAATTAAAAAGTCACATTTACATTAGTTTTAAATAACATAGTTTAGGCACATTTAATTTATAGATTAAAAATGGGTACTACTATTTTTACCCGGATTTTTCTAACTCTACCCCTTTAATCATTATAGGTTTGATAGCCATATTTTAAATCATTTATTTTATATCAGCTTTTTCAAGATTGTAATCAATTTATAAAAATTATACTCATTTTAAGATTTCGAATAGTGTGTCCTCAAGTCAACATATTAAACGATGCATGTGATGTATATTGTTGGTTTTAAAGACTCTGGGCATATAAAACATATAAAAAATTAAATTAAATACAACAATAAAACGTATAAATTACTCTTATATAAAATAAAAAGAAATTGTTAACATTAATCAAAATAACATTTTAACTATATACACTCATCACTCAAAACAAGAACAATGATCAACCCACTGAAGATGACCTTCCACTGCTATTAACCACCGTCGTCGGACACCAACCGTCAGAGTGAACTGGAACAAGATCTAGATAGAGATCGAATGAATTAGATATATCGCATTCAACCCACTTTTGTCGACCTACCACTGTCATGAACCATCATCGCCGAGAGAGACGTCGACCACCTAACACCATCCCGGAAACCACGTCAGCCACTGAAAGTCATCCCAAAAATCTCGTCTTACCACCATAAACCACCGTTAAAGAGACCAATATAAACGACAAAATTTCTTGTTGCTTACCGTCACAGCATCGGACCACCTTAAGTTTGGTCGAACCACCAACCTGAAAACTCGTCGGAGAAGCATTTCTCTCGCTCCTTTTATTCTTAGCGGTCGATAGGGTTTAATACATAAAAAGTTTTTACAGTTACAACCATAAGTTTTGAATATGCTCCATATTCACCTTATAACTTTAAATCTCTTACGATCTCTACTTACGTTTTCTTTAATAAAAGACGGTTTTAAAAACAAAAAAAAATTAGTTCATTTAATTTTTTATTTTTTTATAATGTTTTGTTAATAATTACACGAAATTTTTAATAAAATATTTACTTAGAATCAACTTGTTTTTCAATAAATTATACTAACTTTTTAACAAAATATTCTAAGTTTTTTAATTATATAAATAATATTTTATTAAATAGATTTAAAAACATTAATGATTTATATATTATAAAAGAGTATTTATCATTAATTTATAATTGGCTAAAGTTATAGGTAAAAGACAAAATTTCACGATTGGTCCCTGTGGTTTACACAATATCGCACTTTGAGGACTTTCTAGCAAAAAGTCACGCGAATGGTCCTTAAGGTTTCATTTAATTGCGCGATTGGTCCTTGACCCTAACCCCGTCATTTTTGAGCCGTTAGTGAAGGGGTAAATTTGTCTTTTCATCTTGCAGTCACTCTAATAATCGATCATTATGCACATATACGCATGAACTCTGTAATTAAGTACAAAAATCATCTTCCTCAGCTACCCATTACCCTTTCGCATTCATCTTCGTCTTCTCCAACAGAACACAAGGCAGAGGATCATCTGTCGATTGAAAACGATAATGGTGTTAACGTTATGGTCACTTCGTTCCAAACACACTAAAGCATCAAATTATGATTTGGAAAGGATATACCGTAAGTGACTTACTAAAGTGATCTTTGATTTTCTCGATTTGATATTATGCCCAAATTGTTGAAATTTTTTTTGTTATTCTTTATTTCAGAGGGAATAAGCAACTATTTCACTCTGAAAATCCATCATGGTGGGATATTCACGAAAAGCCCTGGGAGAAGGTACGTAGATGGAACAATAGACTATGTTGACTTCGTAGATATTGACGTATTCTCTGTGCATGAGTTGGATACAATGGTTCGAGAAATAGGGTACGTAGAAGGGCAAACTTTGTATTATCATTTTCTTATTCCAGAAGTAGAGTTGGACTTTGGTCTGTTACCTCTAGGAAATGATGGGGATGTGCATGTATTGTCAAATTATGTGGAAAAAAATAACCTTTTAAGTATCTACATAGAGCATGGGCATACAAGGGTTAACAGTTATTTTTTGTCCCCCACCAAGGTTATTATTGAGGAGTTGGTTACTGATGTATCCCCTGAACTAGATAGGAACCAAAAGAAGGGAAAAGTTGTTGGGTCTTCTAGGAAAAAATTAGACTACTCCCAGTCCATTGTGCCATATGGAACATTTGATGGACCTTCACAAGTGATACAGGATAGTGAGCCAGTTATGGATGATGAGCCAGTTATGACTGATGAGCCAGTTTTGAATGATGAACCAGTTATGAATGATGAACCAGATTTGAATGATGAACCAGTTATGAATGATGTACCTGTTATGAATGATGTGCCAATCATAGATGACCAATATGATGAGCTAGTTATGAATAATGATCCAGTTGTAGATGACGAATATGATTGTGAGGATAGTGCAGATGAAAGTGATTTTGATAGTCAGCATGATGCAAAAAAAATAGTGTTTGATGAGGAACCTTTGATAGATGATGTGGAGGTGAACATGATCAACTTCTGTAGTGTACTTGATGAAGACATTGACTTGGGCCAGCTTGATCCGACAAACAATAATACTAAGGAAAAGGAAGACATTGAAGATGAACGTTTAGAAGTCTTAGACAATGATGTATTTGAGTCATTTGCTAGTGAAAAAGAGCCTAGGAAGAAATTGTTAAGGTCCATTCTAAAACCAGTTGCTTGTTCATCTGGTGAGGTTCACACTAAAGCTTTTAAGATTGGTCAGACGTTCAAGGAAAAGGAAAAAATAAGAGAAGTTATTGCCAACTACTCTGTAAAAGAAAGGAGGGATCTACATTATGTAAAGAATGACAAGACAAGAGTTAGGTAAAGTGTAGGGGTATTGTTCCTGAATTGACTGGTGACAGTAATAAAGATAGGGGCAATTTAGTACTTTCCAAGAAAACAACTTGTCCATGGGTTCTTTTTATATCTAGGGCAGATGAGAAACAACTTTGGACTGTCAAAACATACGAAGATTCTCATTCTTGTTTGCAAACAAGGACAGTGAGGGCTTGTTCATCTAAGTTTCTAGCTAACAACATATTGCATCAAGTTGAAAGTAACCCCAAGATCCCTACACGTGCTTTACAAGAGGAGTTAGTACAGAGGTATTCACTTTCAATATCAAAGATGAAAGTATTTCGGGCCAAAGCTATGGCAAAACAATATGTTTATGGTGATTATGAAAAGCAGTACGGTGTTTTGAGAGAATATGCCATGGAATTGAAGTCAAAGAATCCAGGAACAACTGTGAAGATAGATGTCGAAACTGAACCCAATGTGTCTTCTGAGACAAGGATCTTCAAACGGATATATATATATGCTTAGGTCCATTGAAGGAGGGATTTAAAAAAGGTTTGAGGGATTTTCTTGGATTTGATGGTACGTTTTTGAAGGGTCCCTTTCCAGGACAAATTCTTACTGCAGTTGGGCTTGATTCGAACAATGGCATTTACCCAGTTGCATATGCCATTGTAGAGACTGAAAATATTAACTCTTGGACATGGTTTTTGGAACACTTGGGTGATGACTTAGATTTGAATTCTTCATCTAACTTCACTTTCATTTCAGATCGGCAAAAGGTACCCTCTAACTTTTTATTCACTTTTACTTTTTTTTATTATTTCATTTACTAACTTATTTTAATTGTACTCACAGGGAATCTTGGCTGCAATAGAGAAGTTATTTCCATCAGCTGAGCAAAGGTTCTGTTTAAGACATGTGTATCACAACATGAAATTGAAACACAAAGGAGATGAATTGAGGGAAGCAGTATGGTGTTGTGGAAAAGTATACAACATACCAAAATTTAATAGGGCTATGGAGAAACTGAAAAAGCTTAACCCAGAAGCACATGAGTGTTTAAGTAAAATTCCTGCAAAACACTGGGCAAGATCCCATTTCTCTGGTAAGTATCATACTCTTTTCACTAACATATTTCATAACTGATTTCAGTAATTAATTGTTTGGTTTTATATATAGGAAGGGCATTGACTGATAGTTTAACAAATAACTTGTGTGAGGTATTTAACTCCAAGCTAGATGAGGCAAGGGACAAGCCTATAATCACTTGTTTGGAATATATTAGAGAATACCTCACAAAGAGAATAGTAAATGTTCATAAGGTGCTAGACAAATGCAAAGGTTCTCTAAGTACAACTGCAACAACAATCTTAGAAAACAATAAGACAGAGGCAAGTAAGATGAGGGTTCTATTTAATGGAGCTGATAAATATCAAGTGACTGGTCTATGGATGGAGCAGTATGTTGTGAATTTGAAAGAGAGGAGTTGCACTTGCAGGAAATGGGACATTACAGGTATTCCATGCCAGCATGCTATTGCTGCAATGTATGATAAGATGCAGAATGGGTCAGAATGTGGAGATCCTGAGGCTTGGGTGAGCAAATGTTACTGGCTCAGTACATGGAATGCTATGTACCAACACACAATTGACCCAATAAATGGAAGGAGCATGTGGCCTAGATCTGATTGTCCAACAACCCTTCTCCCACCCAAACATCACAAACAGGTTTGTTGTCATACATGTTTTGTTTAATTTAACTTGAAACTATTTAATAAACTTGTTAATATGTAACCATATGAATTTGTTTATAGGTTGGTAGGCCAAAGAAAAAAAGGAAGAGGGCAGTTGATGAGCCAACTCAAAGTACCAAGTTAAGTAGGAAACACTTGACAGTCACTTGTAGCAAATGCCACAACAAAGGTCACAATGCTAGGACTTGCAAGGGGCAGGGAGGTCCTAGTGAAGCTGGATAGGGGGTGGACAAAAGAAGGGAAAACATGTTGTAGCTTAGTTTGTATTTCTAAGTAATCTTTTGCTATTATGTCTAATTAAAGTTAGAACATGTTTACTAAGTTTGGTTATGGTATGTCAGTCAAAACAACTACTTTTGATAGGTCTTTTGGGTATTCTATGTTTGTAACATGATATTACACTTACATGCATTATGGTTAATGGTAATGCTACTTTGGTAATTAGTTTTTTGGCTATGTTACTGCACTTTAATAATCAACATTACACTTACATGCAATCAAATTGACAATTTCCTTCCTTGCTAATATAATATCCATCACATTAAAACAAAACATCAAACTTACATTACATATTATATCTGTTACATTTTCTTGTCCCAACATTACATACAATCATAGGGAAAATCCTTCAAAAGCTATGAAAAAATGGGACCAAAAGACAGATTCCAAGTTATAGATTCCCCCCCCCCCCCCCCCCCAAATGCTTCTTGATTTTTTACTTGAAAAGGTAACACACCATGAAAAACAACCAACTCAGACAAAGTAGCCATTTCACCATCATCAATCTTGCTTCGAGATTGTTTCTTCCACGCAACAACCCTGGAATCACAACAGTTGACCTAGGGCACATGGGAGGGTCGAACCATCCAAAAAAGCTGCATGTTCCTCCTAACCTTGAGCATGACCAAAATCGACGACCTGGGTTCAAGTCAGTCCACGATGTCACCAAAATCGTCGGCCTTCCACAGTGGCATATCACCATCTTCTTCAATTTTGGAATAGAATGTGAGTAGGGAGGGAAGAACAGAGGCAAGGAACGAGAAGTAGAAGGATACAAAGGCGGACCTTAAATTATATACTCTGATGCACAACAAGATGAAAAGACAAATTTACCCCTTCACTAACGGCTCAAAAATGACGGGGTTAGGGTCAAGGACCAATCGCGCAATTAAATGAAACCTTAAGGACCATTCGCGTGACTTTTTGCTAGAAAGTCCTCAAAGTGCGATATTGTGTAAACCACAGGGACCAATCGTGAAATTTTGTCTAGGTAAAATAGTTAATTGGCTAATAATTATACCTACTTACGTTTTCTTTAATAAAAGATGCTCTTAAAAACAAAAAAAAATGTTTATTTTATTTTTTATTTTTTTATAACAGTTTTGTTAATAGTTACATCAAATTTTTTAATAAAACATTTTACTTAGATCAACTTGTTTTTTAATAACTTATATTAATTATTTAACAAAATATTCTATGTTTTTTAATTATATAACTAATATTTTATTAAATATATTTAAAAATATTAGTGATTTATATATATATATATTTTAAAAGAGTATTTATCATTAATTTATAATTGGCTAAACTTATAGGTAAAATAGTTAATTGGTTAATAATTAATGATAAAAAAATTAATGCAATCATAAGGTAATTACAGATAAACTATATAATTATAATATAATTATGAATTAGTTAATAAAAAATTCAAGATAGAATGAAAAGGAGTATAGATAGATTATGGGGTTGGCTAATAAAACATTCTATTTTACCATTTAAACAACCCTAATTAATGTTTGAAATATTTTTATAGATTACAAAGTGTTTGGAATAGTTAATAGGATTGATTGTGCATTAATGAAATTAATATAATAATTGTTTATTGATTTCAGTGTAATTAGTTTGTGTGTATAGGAGGACTTAGTAATTTCCATTATTAACTTATTTTAGGTTATCCGGAGTGGAGGGATCTACCAACGCGTGGAGCTGACCTGGAGGGTTGAAGACGCACGAACACCATCTCTAGACCTGATGGTTTGCTTGTGGCGTCTTTACGAAGACGGACGAAGACGAGGGGCGCTATTGGCTGGCTTCCGTTTTGAGTGATTGGAGTCGTTGGAGGATACAAAAATTTTAAAAAAAAATCATTAACATTTGCAGGTATTTTAAATGGAGAAGACGATAGAGACGTCGTCCTTTAACGAGGAAGAAGCACACATTTTTCAACAATTGTTAAGTATGGTCCCTTGAGTTTGGGTCAAAAGTAGAACAACCCTCTCCCCTAATTTTCTTTTTATTATTATTATTATTATTATTATTATTATTATTATTTTCTATGTTTTTATTAATGATGTTTTTTTATTTAATTTAATGTTAAAAAAATGTTTTGGAGTGGTGATTATTTCTTATATCTAGTGGATTGGTGGTGAAGCTGACGTGGGACAGATGTAGCATTATTTTTTTCAGTGAGTTGATGGTGATCATTCCCATAGTCTCGTTACAAATATTATTACTAAATCATATTTGTAGCAAAACACGGTAACCAACCCTCCTTAAACTACAATTACCAATTATCTAATGTTCTTTTCCACAAGATATAACTTACGGCAGTTGAAACAAAATATTTTACATATAAAACATATCTTTTAATATTTACTGGTCTTCTTCACATCATAGATATAAGTCATAAACATGCTTAGAATGACACTGCAGAGACAAATAAGCCATTAATATGTATTTGTGCTACGCTTATGCAGATCCCCTATGAGTCTCGATTTTCTTGGGGAGTGCATCTTTGGAAGCACCCACAATTCTGTCCACTACTTCTCCATCTTTAAGAAACATGAATGTTGGCATTGCCTCCACTGAGAAATCCTCAGCAATGCTCTGTTTGTTATACCAACTTGTTATTTCTAAGTGCTGAAAATAATAACACCCTGCAATAATCTCTAACTATGAAGAAGTCAAGAAGATACAAGAATCTTACTTTTAGTTCATCCACATCAATCTTAACGAAGATAACATCGGGAAACTTTTTAGCTAATTCGGCAAAGATCGGTGCCATCATACGGCATGGACCACACCATGAGGCTGTGAAATCCACAACCAACTGTCAAGAAATCCATCTAAATATTAAGTGTATGTGAAAACGATAACAACTTTCGATAAACAAGAATATAACAAAGAGATTAGAGTTACCAATTTTTTAACTTGTTTGTGGTTTTCAAAGAGTTGTTGCCATAACTCGACGGAGTGACAGTTAATCAACGCTCCTTCTTCCAAAGTCGCCATCTTCGCCCTAAGTCTATCTCTCAAGTAAACGTGATTCGAAGTTGTTTAATTAGTATGCAAATGCGTACTTTAGCTTTGAGTATGGATGAAATTGTGCAACATGGAATCACTATTTATAAGCACAAAAGCAAGGCATATCGGTTTTGGGATGATAGATATTTTGAGAGAAGTGATGTAGACCTACGCTTGCGTGGCCCATAGATATTGAATATTGTAGGGCCGTTAATTAATGGTATCATGTTTACCTTGCAACTTGGATAATCCACGTTTTCATTAGAGCAAATTACACGAATGGTCTCTATGGTTTGGGGTAATCTGCGCACTTGGTTTCTAATTTATTTTTTTAACTCAGAAAATCTTTACTGTTTGTTTTTGTTATACGTTTAGTCTCTACTGTTTGTTTTTTTACGCGTTTGATCATTGTTTTACCTAAAAAACTATTATTTAAATAGGTAAAAATTGTGGGATTGGTAAGGTAATGTGAGTGGGTAGGGTTGGGGGTGCGTTTATTTAAATAAATTAAAAATTCAAGGACAAAATAGTTTTTCTTAGGTAAGACAGGGATCAAACGAGTAATAAAAACAAGCAGTAGAAACCTTCCGAGTTAAAAAAATAAGTTAGGAACCAAACACGTAAATTACTCTACACCATAGGAACCATTCGTGTAATTTACTCTTTTTATTATTTAAAAATCAATAAAAAAATCTTCTTTCCATTTATCTTCTTCCACGTCATTTGTCTTCTTCCACGTTATGGTTTTAGACTTATGAGTTATGCGATCTACCTTACTTCTTTCTCCTTTCGGATATTTGATATCCAAAACGAAAAAAATAATTTTCTTATATTATTTTATTTTCTATAGTATTTTAAAATGGAAATGAAGAAAATGCAAATAATAAATCGGATTTCATACCCCAAAATGAAAATTTAGGCCTTGAGATGTCTCATAAATTTGAAAACAATAAAATGACAATAAATACTTAATTTTTGGAATAAAACAATTCATTAACGTCTCGATCCTAGATTATATGTTTCTTTATTTATCATTATATTAAAATGACATTACCTATTAGCTTTTTGTTCGCATCTACTTCAAAAGAAAAAAAAAATCCAACTTGGCCTCAAATTAATTTATTTTTTTCTTTGCAATACATCATCAATGGATAGAGCATATATAATTTTCCCATAACTTAATTTAACATGTATATTATTAGAATAAAATAAAATAAAAAACCATAACTTAATCAAACATATATATTCATTAAGGGTAATTTTGTCAAAGTTATAAACATGAGCTGATCTTGGTGCGCCGGCAAGTCCTGTACAAGTGGATACCCTCTAACTATTCGCTCCGTGTTTTTCATTGAGCCCATCCGTGAACTATTTTCTTAATTTTTTTTTATTTTAAATATATAGTTGTTTGGTGAGCTATTCTTGAAGTTTTTTTTTTTTTATTTTTATTTTTATTTTATTTATTTATTTATTTTTTAAATATATATTTTGGTGGTGGGCCGGATTGTTTTTGGTAAATACTTTTGCAAGAAATATATATATATTTTATTGTGGGATGATAATTAAATTTATTTAGTTATATAGATATATTATGAAAGTAGAAAATAAATTATTTCCCCCCTGGTAAAATAAATCTCGTGATTACATTTTTAGTTTTATTTTGAGGAAAACTTACAACCATGACGTGGTCGACTAATATTTTCTTAACTTGTTCTTATCTTCTTTTTTGAATTATTAGATTTTTTTTCATAATAACAAATCAAAAATCATAAACATTCTCGATAATACTATTTCTAAATCATAAAAAATATCATAAACATTTTGAATCATAACATGTTTTGACAATAACTATTTTGAATCATTTTATTTTCAACATCATTTTGGATCAATATATTATATTTTTACCCTCATTGTTTTTTTTTTTTTTTTTTTTTAACTCGTTTTGGGTCGATCTAAATTGTGGAACATATGATTTTAATCATTACATTTTGAATCAAAACTTAAGGATCATAAACCTTTTGGATTCATAATGTTATATTTAAATTGATACAATAAAGTTATGGATCATAACTATGATCCACAAAACATGATCCTAATAACATAACTGAATTTATATTATAATGGCACCGGACAATAATATCATTTAACTTAGACAAAAAAGCACTCCTTATGCATAAATAAACAAACCAAAGTATATCCATCTATTTGACTACATATCTAAGACACACCATACACTCTAATTCACATTTCATATTGTATTCAAAATTAATGCATGAGTTAAAAAACCAACTAAAATGAGTTCTGCAAATCTAATTTAGATGAGGTTCTTTCTTTTGATATCGGATCTTCAAAACCTTTTTTCACAATATTTTGTTATTACATCAAAAAACTCCATAATGATCCTATAAAATATCTAACAAAGTAAAACTAACTAAAATCAACAATCACAAAAACTAATTCCATTAAGGCTATCAGAAATATAGTAAAATGATTGCCTTTCTCTTACAACCCTTGGCAGAAAGCATACCACCAAGAGCACACTTTAAAAGTCTTACTTCTTTTGTTCGTAGATAATGTTGACCTTTTTTATTCATCAAGCCTCAATGTGGAGTTTCAAGTATGGAGTCTGTATTTATGAATAAAAATTGGAAGTAAACAAATAGCATAATGGTAACTATCATTATTGAACTTCTTTGTACACATGTTTTTTCTTATCTACTCCTTGTATGGATCGAGATCCCTATTAGGAGTTTGATATTCTCATCAAACAAAATTAATAAACAAATTTTAAAAAATAACAAATGCAATCAGACATTGATGTATTAGTATATACATAAAAGCTTAAAAGGTTGGGGAACAGTAAACCTTTTTCTCTTTCTTATTTGGCCACAGAAGTCTTTTTCTTTTTCATTTTCGCACGGTTTTACCTGCTCAATAGTTTAGTTTCCTTCGTCCTTATCTTCTTCTCCACGGTGTTTTGGATTTTCCTTGCTGATTTGCTTCTTTTTCTTTGTGCTTATCTTTTTCTCCTTTGCGTTGGTTGCCGCCTTTTTCTTCCAATCAGTGAATGGCGGTGGATAATTTTATTGGAGGATAAGGGCGGTACAATAAAAAACAAAACATAAGACTCGGAAAAACATATGGCGGTGTAGAATGAGAACTAATTTCATTTTGGCCTCTCTGTTCTTCTTAACGTCTCTTCTCTGTCTGCTTCTGCTGCTTTCCGTCTCTGTTCCTCTTTAGGTATTGTCTATCTGCGGGTTTAATTATTTGGTTTCAAGAAACAGGTAACAGTCGATCTGAGCCCTAGAAATCGGTTTGTTCACCATATGGTTCAATCAGTCGAATCACCATCGCTTCTTCCACTTCTTCATGCCTAGGTATACATAACACGCGTATGTGATGATCCAGGGTGTTGTTCCTCTGGGTTTGCGACTTCCGATTTTCATCTGACTCATCAACATCATCGAAGGAAGACTTCTCAGTGTCGAAAAACAAGTTGCAATCGCTTTAAGAAGATTAGCATCTGGTGAATCTCAAGTTTCAGTAGGAGCATCATTCAATGTTGGACAATCAACAGTTTGTCAGGTCACATGGAAATTCATAGAAGCCATGGAAAAATGCGCCAGACACCATCTCAAATGGCCAGAAAATGAAAAATTACAAAATTTGCATACCAAGTGTTTGTTAATATGTCTCACCGAACTTCAATCATATTCTCTCTAACTCAATTACTTTTTCAGGTGACCTTGAGTTTGTTTCTTCCAATTCAACTTATTTTCTTTTTTAATATCCGCAAATGATGAACTACTTTCAGGAGATCCATTGATGACTGATAAATCCATTTTAATTTAAAGTTAATGAACGAGGTGTGATATCGCTTCATTTTTAATCATTTTCCAAGTTTACGACAAGATGTATTTTGATGATCATCAAAGTTAATATTTGTTGTAAGTTAATAGAATATTTTTGAACCATGTCTTTTTTTCCCTAACACTACGCACATGCTATAATTGGGAAAACAGATGTAGAAATATTCAAAGGTGGCGCTGTGAAGGAATCCCAATACTTCAAAAGAGAAGTTCTTGAAAAAGGATTACCAGGAAAAGGGAAAATAACGTGTGATACGGAATTATTTGGTGCCAAAAGATTTTTAATATATGTTGAACCCGTTTTCAGCGAAGATGGAGAGAAAATTGGTGTAAATTACATGGGCATGGAAATCACTGATTAGGTACTTTCTTTCATTTGTTTCTTATAGCATCTTCTTATTAACAACACTGTACTTATAAAAATCTACCCACTTTAGTTTTATAGTTTGATATTTTTTTTATCATGTGACAGATAAAAAGGAGAGAAAATATGGTAAAACTCTGGGAAGAAATAGCCGTGTAGAAGGCTAAAGAGACAGAAGTTAACAAAACTATTCATATTACAGGTTGGTAAGCTTTTCTTCTCTTAAACCTTATAAATTTTATTTTATTTTTTTTATATAAAAATGGTTTGTTGAGCATTTTTCCTGAATCAATTTCTTTTAGAGGAAACAATGACAACAAAACAATTGTTGGCAACCATGTCACATTAGATAAGATCTCCATTATCTGGGGTCGTTAGCATGGCAGAGATTTTATCAACTACAAAAGTCGATAAGGATTAGAACCAACTCTTGGGTGTTATGTTATCTTCTGGTGATTTAGTTCTTCAACTTATAAATGACATTCTTCACCTTTCCAAATTTGGGTCAGGTTATTTTTCATCCATTTATAATTGCTATTTTTTAATAGATTAATGTTCAAACCCCATTTTTATACTTTGTAGCATGTAAAAGTTACGATTTTTTTCAGGAGTTATGAAGCTGGAGGCTACAAAATTTAGGCCTAGAGAAGTAATCAAGCATGTTCTTCAAACTGCAGCTGCATCGTTGAAAAAGATGTTGATTTTGGAAGGACACGTACCATATGATGTCCCATTGGAGGTTTAGTCTATAATATTGGTACAATTTCCTACAAAAAAAAAATTATGTTAACATTTGTTAAACAATTTCAGATTATTGGTGATGTCCTACGGATTCGATAGATTCTCACTAACTTTATAAGGTATTTTTAACACAGGTCAAAATGCACCATACACACCATGTTCTGAACACATTAATTTTGTTCAGCAATGCTATCGAATGCCCAAATGGCCAGGCTCTCAAGAAAAGAAAACCTCTCAAACCTTCCACATGATTCGGTTTCCCAAATTTAGAATTTGAAAATGTATATACATGTTTGGTGATGATACATTCTTTAACCAAATACCATTTTTTTTTGTCTCTTTATTTCAGTTTAAAATCACATGGATATTATTGAAGCGATGTGTACATCAGACAATACGGTTTCAGCCCTAACCTTCAAAAGTAGTAAAGTATGTTTACTTTTTGTGGAACAAGAAGGATCAGAAGTGAAAAATGTTCCAGCTGCAGAGAGTAAAGGTATGATGGAATGGAATCACAAGCGAATGGAATTAAAATGAATGGAATGGAATGTTTCATTACATTCCATTATAATGTTTGGTTGGATTTGCAGGTTTCCAATTTGATACAAAAGATAGAGATAGAGTTATTCCTGGTTTTCTTGATGCCATAATTGGAATTCAAGGAGGTGAAACAAAATCTTTCTCACATACATTTCCAGATTCATGGAAACAACAAGATCTACGTAGCCTTCCTTGTCAATGTACAGTAAGCCCCCTCTTCTTACAAATTCTGTTAATAATCTACACAAATATTAATTTTCTTGCAAATGTATCAGTAGGTTGAATGTAAAGAACTCTTCTATAGAAAATTACCAGAGATGAATGACTCCATTGCTGATAAGCTTCTTACTGGATGCACCACTATCGATCAAGTTATAAACTTTGTCTATTAATCATGTTTTGACTTTTTACACAATTTTATTTGTGCTTTTGACTAAATGTTGTTTACTTATGTTTTTTTGGTTAGGAAGTCATTGTTGGAGAGGTTTGTGGAACTTGAGCAAACAGCTAAAGATCAAGCAACAGATAATGCAATACCTGATCAGCTTCGAAAGGTATTTACATAGGGGTAAAATGGTAATTTTCAATGGATTTAATGGATGCTCTGTGAAATTATGCAATAAAGAATCGCTTTAGAGTTTAGATACTGCTTGTGCAACAACTGAAACATCTAGATGAAAACTGTACCTTTTGACAAACCACAGGGACTAAAGTTGTAGTTTACTTTTTCCTTTTTTCTTTTTTGTTTAATCAAAATAATTTATTGAAACCTGTGTCCAGATGATTCAAGTTGAAATCCCATAATTTTTGTTTGAAGAGCAAGGAAGACAGCTTTATGGAGGTAGAATATTACAAATACAGGTTTAGTAACAAATATATGTTACACATTTGATTAAATTTGAGACATTTTTTTATAAAGTTTTTAATTAAATATTTAATTTTTTAGGAAAACATGAAACTAAATGAATAACAGTTGGCGATGCTTTCGAGCCCAAAAGCTGTGAGAGAGCACTTGGAAAATCAAAGGGAGAATATAGAAAATGTAATCAAGCAGAATGTTGCAGTTGGAGAGACATTTTTAAACACGAAAATATAGAGGTACATTTAAAAAAAAATACAATTGTAGAATCATATGATTTTTACATTTACTAAAAAAAATATTATTTTTTACAGTTTTCAACGGACGAGCTTGTGAAAGAGGTTGAGAACTCTGTTGTTGAGTTCAAAAAACACGCACAAGAGTATGATGAGGAGAGCATTCAAGAGCAGGTATATTTAGAGGTTACCACTGAATGGTTCCATTCAGAGGTTATCAAACAGGCTCTTAATATCTACTATTTTACTTTTTTTTTTGTTGATAGATAATTTATATCGGGTTTTGTTTCATTGAATGTTGTTAGGTGCAAGAGGTGCTAGAGGGAGCAAAAGTGGTGAAAGGAGCTTTGGTGTGTTGACCAAGGTTTTTTTTTTTTTTTTTTTTTGAAAGATGTGTGTTGACCAAGGTTGATCTCATAGACAAAGGAACTAATGCATAGATGTGAGTTTTTTTTTCTTTTCTCTTTTTTCCTATTTTAACTTACGTGTTGTTTGTTTTTAACTTTATGAATTATGAGCATATTGGTTAAGAATACCGGGAATTATTTCCATGATAAATAATGGTTTTAAGGAGATGGAAGCTGAGTTGGATTGCCTTGGAAGACCTATTGCAGTGGATGATGGAGTGAGAATCTTTTTTTGTTTTGGCAAAATGTTGATTTATTATTTTAAGTTGATTGGTGGAGTTCTAACCCACAACAAGGTGATTTTGATGGACGTGGTGGCTCTGACACATCATCATATGTCAAAGAACACGTCATGAAACTATTCTTTGAAGATTCCAGCTTCCCAATAGACATTAACAAACCATTTTTAAAAGATCTACAATATTCCCATTCCAAAGCCTTCTTACATCTCTGCTATTAGTTTACTTTCAACATTGGAATTGGGGTATTAAAATGCATATTTCATACAACTACTAAAGTGCAAATACCATAATAATGCAGATTTGGGAATAATTTAAATTGAGATTATAGAAATTTAATCATTTTATGGATCATTTCTTTAAAGAAATAACAGTTAACTCACTATAAGTTGTTACTCATTGGTTCCTTTTTTGTTATGTTTTTTGGTTTCTGGTGTAATTTTTATATTCGGTTTCTTATACCTACAAACTGAATACAATCTCATTCTTACTAATCATGTGACAATATTTAAAGCTTTGTGATTGTTTAACTGTTTCAGGTTGGGAAAACTTTAAGTGATAGTAGATGGAAGGCTCCATCACAACAGGTGCAACACCTTTTGTATTCATTTGCTACAAATGATATAAAAAACTATAGTTATGTGTTCTTAGGTAAGACGAGTTACAATACATACCTAAAGAGGAAAAAGAGATGGCGAAATGTTGACAGAGGAGGTTTTTGCTGCCAAGAGAAAAAAAATAACACAGTGCCAACGGCGCACATGATTCCCCTCTAGTTTAGATAGAATCTTAAACCAAACTATATGAATAATCACTGAAGTACACCGCCAACTTCAAGCTTTTAATTATTCTTCCATACTTAAAATATTGGAGTTTCAAAAGTAAATTTGTATAAGATATATAATACAATTAGATAAAATGACAAAATTAGCCAAATACACTAATTACTTTACAAATTTAGCCAAAAAAAAAAAAAAAAAATAGAAATTGCAAAAATAACCACTAATTTCGCAGATGGAAAAGCTCTATCTGCGATTTTTGCTTTCCATCTGCGAATGTACAATTGCCTACAGCACAGTTGTGCTTTAGGTACTTGTACATTCGCAGGATGGAAAAGTCCATTTGCGATTTGTACTGTTCATCTGCGATTTTATGGGGAAAAATCTATAAAAGCGTTTTTTTTCTTCATTTTTCACTTTTCAATATAAAAAAACTTTCTCTCGGGGATTCCTTTTGATGATTTTTTGAAGAAAATAAAGGAGTATTTCAACAATCCCACAAATATGGTTAGATTTTAATTCTATTTATGTTTTAATTAAAATTTATTTAGTATATGTCTTTATTATTTTATTATTTATTGTATTAGTTAGTGTAAAAAAATGGAATTATATTGTTTGTGATAGGTTAATTTTGTTGTATTTGATAGTTTTAATATTTGTTATTAGTAAACTTGAAGTTTAAATGCTATTTTGTTAGTGGTTGTATTAATATACAAGTAGAGACTGTGTAAAGTATGTATCGGGTAGTTGTATATTTGGTAAATGGTTAGAATATACTAATTTTTTTTAAGTTATTAGTTAAATAAATTGTTATAATATTTGTTCAGAATATGTTTTGCTTAGTGGTTTAAGTTGATAAATTGATATAGCATGGTTAGAATATGTTATTTGTCGTTTGTATAGTTGTTCTATAACTTGAAAAATTGTATATTCTTATCGTATAATTGCTTTTATAAATTGAAAAATGGTTAAAAAAAATGTTTACAATATGTATAGAATAGTCGTTTGTATATTTGTCGTATAAGTTGAAAATTTGTATCTATTTGTTGGTGAAGTATAAAATTTTTTATAGTATGGTTAGAAAATTTTATAATATGTGTACAATAGTTGTTTATATATTTGTCGTACAACTTGAAAATTTGTGTATATTTGTTGTTTTAGTAGAAAAATTTTTGTAGTATGGTTAGAAAATGTTATTTTATATAATTTGAAAGTTAAAAATTGTTTGTATATTTGTAATATAATTTTGAAAATTGTTAATTTAGTTATCGTTTTAGTTGAAAAATTATTTGTTTATATTGTTAGAAAATGTTATTTTATATAATTAGAAAGATAGAAATTGTTTGTATATTTGTCGTATAACTTGGAAAATTGTTTATATAGTTATCGTTTAAGTTGAAAAATTGTTATAGTATGTTGTTTTTTAGCGTAAATATATAAAATATTTATTAAATATTTGTATTTGCATTGTTACTATTGTTTATATTATTATTGCATTTAATAATCATATATTTTAAAATGAAATGTTTGTTTAGTTTTCTAATATGTTATTGTGTTTTGTGCAACATGATTATAATAATTTCAATGTGAAAGCAATTGTAAACTTAAAATGATCGGGATGTAATATATAAGAATTATTTGAAGTGTTAGATGGTATCAGACGTGATATATTTAGAGATATCGTATTTGGTTATTTTGTTGGACGTCCCTCGTTTACAAGGGGAAGGATTGCTGTTCTACAAAATGTTTCTTCATCAGATACGACCGGACATTGTTTTATCTCCAGATGGAATAAAACGGTTATACTTTAGATTAGGCGATACGAAAATGGTATATGAGCCGGAAGAGTTTTGTTTGATAACCGGCTTCAATTTTGGGGAGTATCCAAAAAACATCGGGAAAAAAGTGTCAGTAAAAATAGTTAGTAGTAAAAAAAATGTTTATTGCGTGGGCTGCTATTTCCGAAGTATACAAATAGTTCGGTGATAATCGGCGACCTGAAAAGTTTTATTTTAAATCAACTATTCTTAGAAGTTGACGACGCCGATACAGTTAGAGTATGTTTGATATACATTTGTGTGAATGTTTTTTGGGAAAAGAAATAAATGATCGGGTACCACAAGATTGTTTTTTTTTTTTTTGCTGAGAATTTGGATGTTTGGAACATGTATTTTTTGTTTACTTTAAAAGTTTTATATTATTAATGTTAATGTATATTATAACTAAAAAAATTTTGTTTTGTTAGTTTCGCTTGGGGTAGCCATCTATGAGATTTTACGTATGATGATCTTGAAGATACATTGAACAAGATAAATAAATATTTATCACTTCCTAAGCGTCGTTAAACTTTAAAATACTCCGTTTCAGGATTTACAGCTCCAATTCACATATATTTAAATGGTTTTATTGTTATGTTTGTTATTTTAATTTTAACTTTTATTACTATAATTGTAAAAATTGTAGATATTAATATATGAGATGCTTCCGGCTGTTCGTGCATGTGGATTTGTATTGAGAAAAAACAGAGACATGTCTCGGATGAAATGATGGAGTGCAACAAAAAAATTGAAATGGTTTGATTTGAAGAAGATTTTTTCAAAGATACAGGTTTATAGATATTTTTTTATTATTAATAAACTTCATTATTATACTTTTATATGCATTTTTAATATGTTCAATTTTTTAGAAGGGACAACAATCAAGACAAAACATATTACCGAGTGATGGTGAGATGATATCTTGTTATTATATGTCATTTCAATAGTATGTATATAGTGAACGAAAATCAGTTCCATCCCCAATACGGGACCATTTTAGGAGACAAGACGAATCTTCGTCTAGTATGTCGTCTAGTGGTCGCTCTTATGATAGAGGTAGGGGCAGTAGGAAACACAACCTAAAGGAGGTGTTGAAACGGCTACATGCACTGGAGCAGCATGTGTTTACGAACCGAGAACCTAGAGAGGCTTTTGTAGAAGAAGTGAATAATGAAGATTTATGGAATAACATCAGTTTTGAGGAGCCTGCAGTATTCCAAACAAAATTTGATGAACATGTTAGTTACACACTACATTATTTATTTTACTTTATTAGCATATATGAATATATGTGTTCATATTTTATATTTGAAAATGTAGGTTGTACAATATGAAATGATGAATAAAAATAATACAGGTGATATTGAAGACGACAAGGTTGTTATAGATATTAAATTTACCATAGGGCGTGAAATCCATAACCAACTGTCAACAAGTCCATCCAAATATTAAGTGTATGTAAAAACGATAACAACTTTCGATAAACAAGAATATGACAAAGAGATTAGAGTTACCAATTTTTTAATTTGTTTGTGGTTTTCAAAGAGTTGTTGCCATAACTCGACGGTGTGGCAGCTAATCAACGCTCCTTCTCCCCAAGTCGCCATCTTCGCCCTAAGTCTGTTTCTCTCAAGTAAATTAACCTAATTCGAAGCTGTTTAATTAGTATGCGAATGCGTACTTTAGCTTTGAGTATAGACGAAATTGTGCAACATGGAATCACTATTTTTATAAGCACAAAAGCAAGGCATATCGGTTTTGGGATGATAGATATTTTGAGAGAGGTGATGTAGACCTACGCTTGGTGGCCATAGATATTGGAGTTTTTGACCATAATAGGGTGGGTGGAAAAAATATTTACCATTTTAGTGTTCTTTCAAAACTATTTACCATTTTAGTGTTTTTCTCCTTTTTCTTTTACTTTTTAGTTTTCTTTTCAGTTTTTTTTTGACAAAACTGCACAAATGGTCCCTGTGGTTTGCTCAAAATTGTCACTTTGGTCCAAAAAAACTTGGACTAGCACCACAGGTCCAAAGTTTTCATTTTGTTGCGTCTTTGGTCCAAAGCATTTTAAAAATTCTTCAAATGATGGATTTGCCCCTCTTTATTTGTTTTTTTCTTTTCTTTTTTTCCTTTACTATTTTTTATTATTTAACTACATAGGGTCCCCCTCTCTCTCTCTCTCTCTCTCTCTCTCTCTCTCTCTCTCAAGAACATATACAATAAAAAACATACTCCCTTCCCGTTGTTCTTCCTCCCTACAACCCAAACCCATTAATAACCTTCCTCTGTCTTTCTCCAGTGACTATCGTCTTCCAAAATCGATTTTTGTGTTCAAAATATTTGTTGTGAATCATTTTTTGGGGAGAATCAATTTCTGGTTTCATCTTCTCCAACCCAATTTTTTGGGTTTCATCTTCCATCATCGGCAGATAAGGTATCCTTCGTCGTCAAAGGCGTTGTCGAAGGCATCATCGTTGAAGAGAAAGATGTCACTTTTCAAAGCCTTCATCGGATTAACTAGTCGATATGCTAACGGTAGTCCTAGAAAAATCGAAGAAGGCTAGATATAAAGATCGAGGTCGCCGGAGCCACAACGAACCCTAGCTTCGATTGGGGCTCCGTCGTCGCTGCTATGAAGATCCAATTAGGGCTTCGCCTCCGCTTCAGATTCATTTCTCTCACCGTCAATCTGAAATCCCTCACCGTCGTTGCTATGAAGATCCACTGTAAAAACCCTCGTTGCTATGAAGATCCACAACAAACCCTGCTCTGATTCATTCCAAATGTTATCAGCGAAAACATCTTTTTCTCCATCATAATCTTTCTTTCATTCGAACCCAGAAGCTACAAATTGATTTGGTAATGGACTAGACAGTTTCAATGGACATGATAATGCTTCAAATTGTAGCACTAGCAAGAGGAGAGAGAAACAAATGAACGGTGTTCTTTAAGTACCAATTTTTATTTGTTTTATAGGACTTCTTTTGGTTATAAAGGTTTGAAAATTATGGATTTTTGAGGTTGTAAGCATCGTATTGTTTGTGTTTGCAGTGGTAGTAATTCATGGAAGCTTGGTACACACACACACACACAGAGAGAGAAAAGAGAGAGAGAGAGAGAGAGAGAAAGAGGGTGGGACCCTACGTAATTAAATAATAAAAAAATAGTAAAGGAAAAAGAAAAGGAGAAAAACAAAAAGAGAAGGGTAAATCCGTCATTTGAAGAATTTTTAAAATGCTTTGGACCAAAGACGCAATAAAATGAAAACTTTGGACCTGTAGTGCTAGTCCAAACTTTTTTGGACCAAAGTGGCAAATTCGAGCAAACCACAGGGACCATTTGTGCAGTTTTGTCTTTTTTTTTTTTTTTTTAATTTAAATATCTTATTTTTCTTTTTTCCTTTTTTATTCCTCCTTTTTATTGTTTTTCTCATTTTCTTTACTTTTTAGTTTCTTTTCAGTGTTTTTTTAAT